AAATGTCACCAAAATCATTCGGTCCCTCTAAAATCTTTCAGAAAATCGCAAAAGTATATTGACTTGTATCGTTTGCTGAATATCGCGATATATGTCGTATCGTGAGCAGAGTATCATGTGTCGTATCATGAGAGTATTGTATCACTACAGCCCTAGCAATAGGTCAGATTTGGACACTGTGTTTGAAAAGGCCTGTGATAAAGCAGGTGTGTGTGTGTGTGTATCAGGTGAAAAAGATAATTGCAGCCACATCCTCTCAGAGGACATTGTCCTTGTGCTCACGGATAACAACGGGATGTTTTCTTTGGCGTATTTGCCTCAATATAGCGACATGAGTTTCTGCAGCTCAGGAACCTAGAGAGGCCTTACTTCTGCCATCCTTGGCAGTAGATAAGAAAATAATCCACAGTAATACTGAACAATTCGATGAGTTATGGAAATGCTCCATTAGACAGATAAATAACACTTAAACAGCCTGAAGCAGTATAAAGTTGTCAGTGGCTGGACATCTGTTCCCTGATGAGAGACGGAGACAGAATGTTAAATTAATGTCATTTAAATTCCTAATGAGATCTTACAGTTTGGAAAATCCAGCAAAAACAGACTTCTTATTCTGGTTTTAGTAATGAAAACCAGTAGCTCTCATCACACACACACGCACAAAATTAACATCCAAATTTACTATTTGGATTTGAGTGAGGTATTCCCCATCCTTTCTTTTTAAATTTTGAGTGTGTTATGTTCTTTTTTGAGGATAAATATGGTTAAACTTCATCGTTAAGCATATTAAACGATGGAAAAAATAAAAATCATGAAAAAAAATGTGGGTTTGCTACTTCTTGGTCCAACACTGAATGGAATCAGATCGCAGTGTATTTAGGTGAGTTTTGGAGTTTGTAGTTTGTTATTGTCCACAAAAAAAGTTTTTGTGGCTGTAGCACATTTTCACGATAGGTAAAAAAAGTCTGCAAATATTTACGCAAACTTTCACACCAAGCTCTTTTTTATACATGCCAACTTGTGCGTAAAATATGCTGCTTCACATTTTCGTGCAGTGGCATACAGAGGATGCCATCGCTATCGCTCTGCACACCAAACTGACACAGCAAAGGAGTTACGCGAGGCTACTCTTCCTGGACTTCAGCTCGGCTTTTAACACCATCTTTCCGAGCAGACTGGGAGGAAACTGGAGAACCTGGATCTTCCCCACAACATCTACTGCTGCTTATCCTCAGCTCTGAGCACAAGCACCGTCTCTCCACAAGGCTGTGTGCTAAGCCCCCTACTCTACACCCATGACTATGCCATCCATGGTAATAAACTAACTACACTATATATCATGTGTCTGTAGGCCTGTCACAATAACAAATTTTGATTGATGATAAACGATATTGTTGTTTTGAGACCATTTTTAAGTAATATAATGTTAATTGCAAAATAATAATGCAAGAACACAATCTGAAAGATCAGTAAGCTTTAATGAACATTTAACACTGCAACTTGAAGACATTTCAAATATCCAAAATAAATAAATCAGTCGGTCTTGTAAAGCTTTAGGCAACCATGAGTCAACAATGTCTGGGGCAGCCTACTATATAATTCACTGGGGCATATTGCTTTATAGTTGTATGTATACTAAACTCATTAGGACTAGGCTCTCTTTACATTTTGACGCCTATGATGTTTGAGATTATTTTTGTTGTGTTTGGGAACTTGTGTGATGTGGGAGACAACACAAGGGCTAGAGGAGATACACAGGAGCTGCTGCCTCCAGAGAGCCTGCAGCATCATCAAGGATCCCTCAGACCCCAGAGCTTGAAGAGGCCACCACCTCTTCAAGCTCCTGACCTACGGAGGCACTTCAAGGCAATAAAGACAAGGACAAACGTACTAAAAACAGTTTCTATCCAAGAGTTTTTGTTGCCCTGAACACAGCTAATCCATCTAAAACCTGAGCTGTATATTGAAGTAGTGCTATTCTCAATTGACTATAAGTTATGGGTACTAGACTGACCTCAGCTTGACACAAATAAATGTGTTTGTATCTTCCTCTCACACAGAAAATGTCTTTTTCGCCTGTCCACTTAAACTCAGAACATGTAGACCAAGTTTAAACAAAAAGCCCAATCTCCTTCATGTGACGTACTGCTTGTATCGCCATCAAAAGATCACGTCATGAATTACTTTTCAATGAAGTGCAACACTTAACCACAATCAAATGACATACATTTGATTGTACGCATGTCATTTGAAGTGTGTCACCTCCCTGCAGTCTATAGTCTCAAAGTACAATGAACTTGACCCGTTTCAAAGGCTTTGTTGCTAAGAGTTGTGTTTCTTTAACAGAGGATCAAAGGATGTTCAGCCTGTAAAAAATCCTGAGGGACCCTCCTTCTTGGGGTTGCAACATCACCATGATTCAGTTAAAAATCCAGAGTAATGTGACTGTGCATGAGCACTCTGAATGCAAAACGGCAGAATTCTGGAGTTTTGCAAACATGAAAAAAGATCAATTAAAAGTGGGTACAGGGGGGCTGTGGTGATGATTTGAAGACGTCAAGAAGATGTTAGACACTTCAAGCTACAGCTGTGCCGATGGCTTTCCATGAGTCAGGGTTTTCTCAAAATATCTTTGTGTTTCTGTCAGTCTGTGTTTCACACCCACCACTGCACAACCCGACACCTCCGCATGTCCACCTACACCTCCAGGATGTCCAGATCCACTCCAGCACCAACAGATGTACATTCAGAGGTGTCCCATCATTTCCTGTCAGCATTGAGGTGTGTAGTTTTGCAGAAAATATTGTTTTTTCCACTAAAAATCCATGACAAATTATGTATATGTCACATTAAACCACCATTATTTCCCTTGTTTTTGTATTTGTAAGTTGACCTAGCATTCTAACTCGAAGTTTAATTAACCCTTTACTTTAACATAATTTTCTGATGTCAAAATGCAGGACGTATAAAGAAAACAAAATACAAAGGCTGTTTTTATGTTTTGTCTGGTAACACTTTATTTGACGGGGTGTGCATAAGACTGACATGACACTGTCATAAACATGAAGGAGAGTTGGGGCTTTTAATGGACTTTCAAGGCAACTTTTAAAGCAACTTTGCATTAAAAGTGTCATTATTTACCAAATGACACTTCATGACAACATTCATAGACAATCATAAAGACTCCTTCATGTTCATAACAGATGTTATGTCACGTTTATGACAGCGTCATGTCAGTCTTATGCACACCCCGTCAAATAAAGTGTTACCTTTTGTCTTTTAGAGAATAGTCTTGCCCCAGCAGGCTTTATTTAACAGCTATTCAACAGAAAAAGGGAAAATTCAGTGTCGAACTCGTGACACTGCATTATTTTTGTCTTTATTTACATTGTATTTCTTTTCCCTGTTTCTGCTTATCATATTTATTTAAGTAATGTCTGATTTACCAATTGCTTCCTAAACTAAAGTCGATGGTCTTTCATGTTATTAGGTATTCTTTATCATCCATCATATTTTTTAGAAATAATTAATCTAGTTTTGAGGATCCACCTTTAATTCTCTATCAAGTAATTTTGACACTATGTTTTGATATACTGCTTAGAGCATTGTTCTCAAACTCTAATCCTCAAGGACCAGAGTCCTTTTGCAACTTCTACATGTGTCCCTTGTTTGACACACTTGAACTAAGGCCTAACGAACACTACATGCAGTTCACTTTCAACCCTGCTTCTGGCCCTCCATTGCTGTTTATCAACTCATGATAATGTCACATAGCAGCAGTTAATGATCACATTTATTAGTAATTCCTCCCCCACAGCTGTTTCAAATATCAAATGAGAAAATCAATCAATCAATCAAATTTTATTTGTATAGCACATTTCAGCAGCAGGGCATTTCAAGGTGCTTTACATAATTAAAAAAAAAAAAAAAGAACACCATGTGATGCTAAATTGAATTACAAGTGTAGTTAAGCATTTCATTAAATTAGCCACCGTTTACTTTTCATGTTTCCTGGAATTCATTGTGAAATATCTCTCCACAGATACTTCCACTTCCACTTAGGTGATCCTCACAACTCAACTACATGAATATCCTTCAGTGTTACTCTCACCGACAATAGTGGAAGCAAATAATGAAGAACAACAAAACATCTCTCTCGGCAGACCAAAGAGCGGTGTGACCGGTGCTGGACGATGGTTCATTCTCTAATGCTCATGGATGAATAAGCTGAAAAGAGGAAGCTGTCAGCTTCCGTTTTGTGGGCCGTATTTACCAGTTAATCCAGTGAGGGCACTCTGAGAGGTTATTAAGAACTCAGTGCAGTCATGTTCTTTCCTTGCTACTGTGAAACTTGCAATTACTAATCCAATTTAGCAGCAGAGGAGTCATGTTCTTTTTCTGTGTTAATCTGGTTACAGCAGCTGTTTGGTCTCCTGTTGACTGGGGTGGGCTTAACTTAGCCAGCAGAGTTCCCAGTGGCACAAGAGGCATGGAGATTCTCCCGATAAAGGTTTTGTACTGAAGACATTCCCACTCGCCACGTCTCAAGATTTCTGTGGACTAATGTAGTGGCTTTTGTCTGCTTTATCCAGAAAGGTATTAGAGCAAGAGCAAAGCGTTGATTGAACTTCACATTGAATATGAAGGAAATGGGTCTGGAAGAGAAACAAAATCTTAAAACGGTACTTTGACAGAGCTTCACTGCGTTTTGGATGTTTTAATACCCCATCCTATTTTTTTATTTATTTATTTATTTTTACTTTTTTTTCACACTGTCACCACAAAATAAAACATACTTCCATGCAATTGTTGTGCAGAAGAATAAAAACACATGATTTTGAGTATGACTGAATATAACTATATTCAGTTAAATAAGTATCCTCTTACTAATCTTTAGGGATTTTAATAGATTTTTCTTTTGACGCATCTATTTGTGATTATTACCTAATCCTCAGGTAACAGGTTAATATCATATTGTTCTCCTAATAATTGCAATACTATCAGAAGATGAACTGTTCATTTTAAACCTCATTGCCATGCGATCAGTCGCACAGTCTATTTAAAAGATAGACACTGACAGGACAGTCAGTTGTGTAGTATTCAATAGAGTGTAAGTCAAAGAATCTGGGCGCTGCTCAGAGGAAAAACAACTGAACAGTTGTCACAAAAATATCTGTTTGCAATTAATGGAATCGCTGCAAAGTTGCCTGCGACGGACTGGCGATGTTTTCCAGGCTGCCACATTTTATGATTTCCTGCAGCAGCTGCCTGTTCGAGGTCCTCCAGCAGAGTCACTCATCATGTCTTGCTCATCATCCAGACCATGATCACGTCGTTGTTCAGAAGCACTTTTTGTGGCCATGACTTGATGCTGCCTCACAGCATGCCTGTGGTTACGATTCTGTCCCATCTGCCTGCCCATGTCTCCACCACTACTCTCCTGCTCTGCAATCAGCTCAGCTGTTGCTCCCGTGTCCTGCTGCTCAGCCGTGCAATCAGCTCATTCATGCACCTGTTCACCTGCCTTTAAATGCAGCTCTCTTGCAGGCAGACAGTGCCAGATTTTTGAAAGCCGTAGTAGGAGTAGATGTCCGATGGGCCTGCCTGCCTGATGACAACCATGTTTTTGTCTCCTGGATTTCCCTGCTTTGTTTTCTCTTACTGGGTACCTCACTGGCTCCTGCTGTCCGGACTCTGACCCCGGCTTTGTCTGCCTGATTCTGCTTTCTCGTGTCTGACCCTCTCCTGTCCCATAATTCTGTCTGTCGCCAGTGTTGTCCTGCTCCAGGTTCCTATCCAAACTCCCTGCCCCAGTCAGTATTTCACCCAAAGTGATGACAACGATCTCTCGCTTATCGGCTCCCCCGGTTCTAAAGAACTGAAATTCAGGATTCACAAGTCCATCTGGACCTCACATCTAATTCATCACTACACTCTCAGGTTCTGGACTCCAGCCGTTTGTGGTGCTTTCTCCAGAACCATCCAGGCTAGTCGGGTGGGACGTCACCAGGCTCTTATTGAGTGAAAAGTACAATTTGGTCATGAGATCCATTTCCTCCCCCCAGTCTGTTTGCTTTTCCCACTTGTATGTCGTCATGGTTACAGGTGGTGTGAGTTTGAGCTGTCTCTTCAGCCGCTTCCATGCTGAAGAAAATTACTTTTTACTAACTAACCTCATTAGGTTCCACCTTAAAAGTCCGATCTGTCCAGACGAAATGGAAGAATAAACAAATCAAAATGAGAATACAGGCACATTTAAAAATAATAATAATAATAATAAAACACCTTGAATTACTTTTTCATCACCTTCCAAGAAGTCAGAACTTTTTACAAGGTGGTAAACATAAAAATGGAGGAAATCTGAAAGTGGTCAGATAGTATTTCACAGCACTGGAGAAGTGGATCTGTACAAAAATATAAAGCAGACAGAAATAAATCAACGTCCTTATTAACAACAAACAAAATGAGTTATTACTGGTGGCTACTGGATTATTATAACATTAGAGAAGTGTTCAGATGAGAGGAAAACAAGTATGAACTCACATTAAACACCATGTTTATGAAACCAAAGGTCAAAACTAATTTGGAAATATTTTTCTTTTGCTAAACTCTTGCTGATGAATTAAAAATGTAATTTTAAACACCCCAAAGGAAAAAAAAAGTAGCTAACATCTACATAAGACCTTTCTGGATTAATTTATTCCCTTGATTTTAATGAAAATATTATTTTGTGAACTATGTGTTGTGATGTGGGTTATTTTGTTGGGGGCGGGGGCCAGTGTGTTTTTTTGTGTTTCGGTTTCTTTCTGCAGTCAGAGGTTACTTTGTCTCATGTAGTTCTTTTGTGTGCTGGGTCTACTGACCCTCGTGTGTTCCCGTAGCTTTTGATTGTTGATTCCCAGCACCTGTTTTTTTCGGTGATTTAAGTTCTAGCACACCTTGGCGGGTTGCTGGAGCCTCGTCGTTCATTTGGATCAGTGTAGCCTGTATGTGGCCTTTCTGTGACCAGCCTTTAGTTGGAATTTGGAAGAAATAAAGCTAATTTATTAGAGAAGCATGTTTGTTTGTTTGCATGTTCAGTGGATAACCCAGACATGCTTTCCCCCCTTTTCCTTTAAGAAAATGATCTAATTGTAAGAACTAAATTAAAACTAACATATTATTATTATTATTATTGGAAACTACATCAGTTACAAAATATTACCTAAACATGGTAAGTCATTTAGACATTGAAAATGATTCAACATCTTTTTGTGAATATTGAGAAATGACCTTGTTCAAAGCCCTCGGAGTCGTAGGCGCCAGCCCTTTCCAACTCTAAATGTTGACTAGTAATGAAGGGGATCACAAGGGGGCATTCACTCTGACATTGGAGCTGGCAGCTTGCAGCAGCATTTAAATGTCCAGGGTATCTACAGGATATTTATAGTACAAGAATGCCCATTTGTGAAGGTCATAAGTAGATTCTCAGCTATTATGTTATAGCTGAGAATCATGGTTTTGCCCAAGGCACAAGCAACAGTTTGGTGACCTTGATAGAGAGGGTAACTGTGAAGCCAAGTTTAAATTGTTCTGCGGTTGGATTGGGTTATGCACTAAAACTTTCTGTCTTCATTCTTCAGGTGGGGATTCCATAGAGTGCATCAGGGTACCATTTACAGTAATCAGGCGCTAATTTGACAGAAAAAAAAAAAAAGATTATTCAAGTATTCTTCTTGCCCTGCAATATCCAGACTTTACAGACAGCTGTTGTTAGAAGTATTGTAGTTTTAAGCTGTAGCACACACACAGTTCCACAAGGTGTTTGCTAAATGATAAGATGGCAAGGCTCGGATCACTCCGTCCACGCCAAAGTGCAACTCAGGTAGAGCAAAACTCTGATAAAAGCAGCTATATGGTGAAGGTAGTGAAGCCTGCTGTGTTCCCTGAGACATTTGGTCAGGCATTTTTGCCTTATTAGCCAATATTAAGACACAGACAGCCAACAAAAAAAAATAAAAAATTTGACTCAAAATTATTTGCAGAAAACCACAGAAAAATTGTTAGAGCCCGAGGGTCCGATCTTAATAGATTACATATAAGAAGAGCTACGTTGCTTTTGCAAGAAGAATGAATGTTTCATACGAGCCTGTTTAATTGTGGAACATGCATCATACATGATCTACTGCACCTTTTCTGGGCTTTAGATCCAGAGCGTCCAGACATAACATGAAGTTGTGCTGGAATGTCCCGCTGCTCAAAATTGGCATTGCTGTGATCTATTTGGCATCTATTTTATTATTATTAATAATAATAATAATGTTATTATTATATATTTTTAACCTTCCAAATATCTGACCAGCCATGTTTTCTGTCATTGTATTTATTCATCCTTCTCAGCAGAGTTGTATCAGATGCAATTTGCATATGCAGAGTGCAGGTGAGTAATTACTGAATGATACATTCAGAGTCAGGCAAAGTAACTGTCTGGATATATGTTTCATAAGGTAACGATGCTGTAACATGATATGAAGCACAAAGGTAAAACCCCCATTGAGATCAAGATCTCATTTTCAAGAGGCACCTGGGCACAAGCATTTGGCATAACACTTTCCCTTCAAGTTAAATTTGTGCGTGTTTTCATCATTTATTTAAGCGATTAGATCTGACAGTTCATTTTTCAATTTGTTTACCACTTGTTGGCCAAAAGATTATATCATGATATATTTCTGAAATACCTTGACAACGATCTCAGACAATTTTTTTTATAGATTTCTTTTTACTTTCCTTTATGAAGTCACTACATAAAAAAAATGCTTTTCCAGTAATGAACAGTTTGTTTCATATTTCTCCTAAGTGAATTTCTGATTGCAGATGTGGAGTAACAAGCACCTTCAGCTCTTGCTTCCAGTGATTTCTCAGGGTTTACTGTCTACGTTCAGGTTTCTCCTAATAATCTGTAGCAGGGGTCTTCAGCTCCACTCCTCTAGAGCTGGGTCCTACAAATATTAGATGCACTCTGCTTCAACACACATGAGTCAAATAATAATATTATTATTACGCCGAGGTGGTGCAGGGGCAAAGCACAACCCACATATTGAGGACTCAGTCCTCATGGCGGTGGTCACAGGTTCAATTCCCAGCCTGGTGACATGTGCCGCATGTCTTCCCCCTCTCTCATTACTGTTTCCTGTTGATCTACTTTCAGATCAAGACCACTTGAGCCAACAAGAGTGATTATCTTTAAAAAAAAAAATAGATAATCACATCAGGCTTTTACTGGTTTCTATCCAGTACATACTTTACTCTGTCGTTTTTATGTAGTCCCATGCATGCGGGCTCCTAACTGCAGCAGTGACTGCATCAGGATGGACGGTCGCAGCAGAGCCTCATTACCTGGGATTTATTTCGACTTTACTGTGGTCTGCAGACTGCGTCAGTCATCGCATCTCCTGGAGGTGGGACGACATCAGATGTTTAACGGTGTGGAAAAATTTTGATTGCTCATCAAAAACTCCACAAACTGTAATAAGTTAATCAGAGCGTCATCTCCCGTGGAAGAAACTCCATTGCAAGAAGCTCAAGTCTTCGTCTGACTGTTAGAGCTGCGCTGATGGGAACACAAGCTTTCTTCCAGTAATGGAACTGCCGGCGAGTGTTGTGTGTTTGCGGAAAATTGTATCTGAAACCTTAGCTGACACGTTTGATACTAAAGTGCCATACTGTAAGAAAAAAACAAAAAACTGACAGTACCACACTCCCTTTTTAGATCTCTCCTTTAAGCAGATGCCTGCACATCTTTACTTACAGCAACGTAACAAACAACCAAGATCTCAAACGTTTTGGCTTGAACTCAATAAATTCAGCATTGAAAATGAATCAAATTAGCAACAGTGGACCTCATCAAAATATTCATGAATGCAATACATTAATCATTTTGTAAGAAACAAATTATTTATAAAAAAAAAAAAGAAATAAGTCCTTCAGTAAGAAGAGTTGAAATACTTTGTTGTACAACTTGTCTGTGTCCATCACCACTGCCTGAATGTTTGTGGGACACGTTTGATTTGATCTGAACTGTTCAAATTTGTTGCCATAGTGAAATTACAAACCATTATTATCTTGTTTAAAGCCAAAAGTAATTCGATACAGGGAAATATCAAAAGCTCTTCTTAAAACGGGAAGGACCTTTTTTATAATTTAAGGGGAAAATATGAATTTGTTGTGGTTTTGGAAGGGCTTTTAGCCCACATGCAGAACTCTCTGAGGAGGCAGGATGAAAAATGAATAAGTTTTATTGAACAAATAAACAGTTGTGAATGAGTGAACCGTCTGTGGTTTTGACTGGAGGCTGGGGGGGGGAAGGGAACGATGTAAAGCACTTTGAAACTGCGTTGTTGCTGAAACGTGCTACACAAATAAACTTGATTGAAAAGGAGCCAGTGAGAAGAAAAAATATGGGAATATGAAATGATCCATCACAATAAGATTCCTGAATAAAAATAATTAACCTCTTCACCTCCAAAATTCTCATCATCTTGAAATTCCCACTGTTTCTTTGTTCTGCAAAGATATATCAGTGTTGCACAGCAGAAACAGACTTAAAGCTGTTGGAAGGGTAAAATTCTGGCCTGATGAGTAAAAATATAAGGGATCAGATCAGAGAGCCAATAGGAATACAAGAAAGAGCATTTTCAAATAATTTTAGTTTTACATGAGGTAAATCAAAACTCAAAGAATACCGTCTGCCCCAATGAGCTCTGCACTCTGAATACACTAAAACAAATGTCTTTATTGTCAAATCAGTCGATGAGAAAAGCAAACAGCCTGACGGTCAACATATACCAGGTCTGACTACAAATCATTCTAATAACTTAAAAAAGTTTAGTTAAATAGGATTAAATTGACTCTCCTGTTACTAAACATGAGTTTGACAAAAACTTTGTGACAATATCGCATTTACTAATTTTTTTTAAGTACGTCTGTCTGAGTGACGAGGCTGCCACAGTTTCACCAGCAGATGTCACTAATGAGAAATGAATGAACCACAGAATAATGAACCTTTGGATAAAGCAGCAGGCTGGGAAGCTTCACTGCTTCACCAGGCTTCATTTGGCCATCAGTACTAGGGGAAGATTAGAGAGGTAGCTTTTTTTATTACACTTTGTTCAATAAAGTCAAAATAAATCTTGACTGTTTGTTTTAGGGCCAGGTAATAAGACAGTAACGGTAGGTGACCTGAAAGAATGATCGTGTCACTGAACTTTGATCGAGAACCGCATGGCGTTCTGAGTCTGACTGCTTTACTTTTTTATTTTATCTTATTTTATTTCAAATGTTCAAATGCACTGAGGATGCAACTCAAATGACTTGCTTCTTATGGCAACCAGTAAATAAATATTATCCAGGATAATTTA